AATATCATGAGTTGGTTTAATTCGAAAACTTTTCGTAAAGAAGCTGAATAGAAAGTGTAGAGTTTTCTATCAGATTCTGTCATTTCTTTAGGAGCATACTTCCTGTAAACTGTGACAAAATATTGTTCTGTCCTCAATTTCTCCGATTATAATATACACTACATGCTCCGTTGCGTTTAATCTTTGTGGTAGGACCAGGAACTTTTACGTCCACTACTTTAATTTCTCCTTTCGTAGAGATGAGAGTGACGTCAAAGACCAATCGTCAGGCAGCAAAGTAGGGAAGGGAAATAAATATAATGTATGTGATTGGGAAGAACTTAGCTATGTCTGTAAACTGCAGTTAACAAAATTGTATGTTAGTTTAGCGTATAAGACACTGTCAGAAATATATCAGGAAATATGTCATAATAGCCTGACGATTGGTCTTTGATGTCATTTGATGCTTTAACACTCACGCTAATGAAGACGGCTTTCTCCTCATCTGAGGAGTGATGAGGGAATTAATCGCCCAAAAGTTTGTTTGAATATCTTTTCCATGTTGTTTTTTGTCGCCAAGCATGAAACTATCCGAACTCCTTTATAATTGTCGTCTCTAGATTGCTTTGATCAAATGTGCTTTTTTTCAAATTCGGATTTTGCTGATACATTTCGCCTACCTAATCTTCAAACTTGTTATAAAAAAGGGGAAAAATAGATGATATTCCTCTTTCAAATATCCTGTTTTCGTGTTTGGAAGTAACAACCTCGCAGATGGTCGGTATGAAATCCGATCTCGAAATATCTGGATGACCAGCCTTATTGCAGTCAAACTAAAGAACTGAGTAATCATATAATGAGAAATGGCGAAGAGTGGTACACGTTGAACACACTATCAAAGTTTGCGAAAAACTAGTTTTATTGGTGTCTCGTAGAGCAGCGTATTGCTGAAAACAAAATTCTGGAAAATTTGTCATAGAGGGTTTTTTTCCTGTAATTTCTTGTTTAACGTAAACTTCATGTTTAGAATCAATTTCTAGGGATTCGAACCTTCTATTCTGTACCCAAAGCAGTCGAAATCAGACTTAATGCAGTCACTGGTCAAACAGTGTACTGGAATGGGTAAAGAGTCAGCATTTATTGAAATTTATAAGTTGCAACTTGAGTAATTCCGCGGTATTATGGTTTTCTGCAGGTATTACTGTAATGGAAAAGCTTCCCACGTTGTCGGATTTCTCTTTGATTGTGGACGCATTTTTTGGCTTTTCATTTCGCCCACCGCTACGCGAGCCTTTCGGTGAAATCATCGACGCTGTGACAAAATCGGGAATTTTTGTTTTTGCCATCGACATTCCTTCAGGTGAGTTCCCTTTCCTTTATTTTTTATTTTCTACGTCCCTGTTCTTTACCCTTCTTGTGACTCCATGACTAATTCTTCCTTATGGTTGGCATAAGGTGATCGAATTAGTGAATTAATCGCAACAAGTATGGAC